CCACCCACTCGCGGACGTTCCCCCGTCATGCTCTCACACCTCTGCCCACCCGTGGGCACCCTGGCACTCACGGGGAGCCCCCCCAGACCCTAAAGAGGTGCTGCCACGCAGCTCCTGCATCCCCGGGGGATGCTGCGGGGACCAGCGCGGTGCTCCAGCCGCTGGCACGGGGGGGCGCCCAAGTCCCTGGGCACAGCACGGACACAGCTCCGGGACGAACCTTCCCACCTTTATTCTGTAAACAGAGTTTTCCTGCCGCTATCCCAACTCCTGAGTCCTTCCAAAGAGGTCGGGAACACCAGAGTGGGACGAGGGACCCGCGGCCCCCCGGGACCCGCCGGGAGGGGAGCTCAGCTCCTGCGGCTCCCACCAGCAAGACCCCCTGGTCCTGGGGAAGCACAGGACTGCAGCTGCGGAGATGTCCCTGTAGAGCATCCTGAGGTCCTCACAGCGTTTGGGGACATCGGAGGGACCGGAGCATCCCTGGGGATACCTCTTGGAGTCAGATCCCACTGTGCTGTAGCTCTTGGAGCAGGACGAGGGATGCCAGACAGCAGAGCCCCAGGAAGGGGACAGCATCCTCCCAGGGATGGGGACAGCATCCTCCCAGGGAAAGGGACAACAGTCCCCAGGGAAGGGGGCAGCAGCCCCCAGAGAAGGGGAGAGCATCCTCCCAGGGATAAGCACAGCATCCTCCCAGGGATGGGAACAGCAGCTCCCAGGGTGGGCACAGCAGCCCCCAGGGAAGTGGAGAGCATCCCCCCGGGCCTGGCAGGACACATCACTGGTATTTCTTGCCCCGGGGCAGGCTGGCAGCGGCGGGAGGCAGGAAGAAGGCAGGAGAGCGCAGGCAGCGAAGCGCCAGGAGCTGCGGCCCCAGCGCGTAGAGGATGTTGGAGAGGAGGAAGCTCCACAGGACTTCGTCAGGAGTCTGGTAGGGGAAAGGCGTTCGGGTGTGCAGCGACGAGCCCAGGTGGGAGAACTGAGCCTGGGGACACAGGACAGGGTGGCACCAGGGGGTTTGGGTGCAGCCCACCCGGCACCAAAGGGTGTTTGGCACCCCCAGCACATCCTATCTATAGCCCTGCAGCTCTCTCCAGCCTATTTCTGTCCAACTCATCCCTGGTTCCAGGCAAATCCACCGAGGCCAAAGTAATTATCAGGCAGCAGAAGTGGTGAAGCTGCTCCACATGCAGCTACTGGTGTGGAGCTGCTCCCACAGCACAGCCCCAGCCCTTGGCTTGCTCTCTGCTGGTTGGGACTGATGCCCAGCCCGGGGGTCCCACAGTTGCCCCCCAGACCCTGGGGTAGCTCCTACCTGTGCCATGGCACCAGCACACACCAAGCTCCAGTCAGGCAGCCAAGAGCAGCCAGGCAACACCAGCCCATAGATGCAGAGGAGGAGGAACGGGAGGATGTAGAACATGTAGATCAGCATCTGGGAGGGACACAGAGAGGGTTACCCCGTGGCTGGTGGCACAGAGAGGCTCCAGCCCTGCCCTAACCCCTCTCACCTGCACTTTGGGGTAGGCCACGGGGTCACGCAGGTAAGGCTCATGCTGGTAGGTGTACTCAAAACACGAATCAGCAGGACAGTCCAGAACCACCTGGGCATGTGGAGAGTGGAGAGGAGGTGGGTGGGGGGCAGGGGTACCCTCCCCAGGACCCCCCAACCCTCTCTGGGGTTTGCCCCAGCACTCACCATCCCCCTGAAGAAGGTGAAGGCAGCTATGACGAGCAGGACCAGGACCAGGGCCGTGTCCTGGGGCCTCTGATACAGAGGTTTGCGTTGCTCCTCTGCAATCTGGGAGAGGGAAATGTCATTTCTCAGCTCCACACGCTGTGGTCCAGCCCTAGGAGGGGGATCAGGGCAGAGGTTTCTAGTGCAGCATCCCCAGAGCTCTGGTTCCCCACTCACCTTCTCAGGGCTGAGGCATGGCAGAGGCTTGGGCTGCTGGAAGCCCAGATGAGGATGAAGATGTAGGGCAGGTTGAGGAGGAAGGAAGGGCTGAGCTCAGAGCTGTATTTCCCTGGGGAAGGAGAGCACAGGATAAGCACAGCAGAGCACTCAGTGCCTGGATTGATACCTGCACCTTCCTCCTCTGCCAGTGGGGAGCAAACCCACTGGACACAGAGGGGTGGAGGCAGCCTGGGGGGATCAGCAGGGGTGGACCATGGAGCTGAGCCCCCTCCACACCCTCATACCTATCATATTCCCAAGCAGGAAGACAATGATGCTCATCATCAGCGAGCCCAGCCAGAAGAGTCCCAGGCTCCTGTAGTTCTTCCTGGAGAGATACCAGGATCAGACACCTCTTCCAGGCTGGGAGCTCCCTCCTCCTCTTGAAATCTGGGCTGCTCCGAGCCCTGTGAGCTGCTCTGAGCCACTCCCTGCTCACCTGTGGCCAATGGCTGCAATCATGGTGAGGTAGAGGCTGTAGTGGACAACTCCATCCCAGTAACAGACCATGATGCCATGAGCTGTGCGCAGGTAGGGCTCACCCTGCCCAGTCAGGAGAGAACAGATCACGCAGGGTGGGGGCAGGAGCCTTCCCTCCCCCTCCCCATGGGAGCTGGAGCTGCTCCATGCATAGTCCCAGTATGGCAAGAGCAGCTTTGGGAGTGGGAGAAGCAGGAGCAGCAGGAGGAACATCCACCGATATTCAACCCAGGTGTACAGAGCTGCTTATGGCACGTCTGGAGGGTGCAGGAGCCTGAGGTGAGGTGGGTTTAGGTGGGTTTAGGTGGGGTGAGGTGGTACCTCTCTGACATAGACCTCCATGAAGCCAGAGATGAAACCATCCTCCTCCAGAGCTATGATCAAGTCAACGATGGAGGTGAAGGAGAACACCACAAACACTGCAGGAGAGACAGACAGCTCCACGTGGGTCCCACAGCTCCACCCAAATCCCAAACCCTCACTCCATGCCCCAACACAGCACCAAGCCCCACTCACCACAGAAAAGAGGGTCCTGGAAGTGGCTCACTCCACTGATGAAGAGGATGATGGAGAAGAGACCGATAAGCACCAGGGCCACTGTTAGCATCAGCATCATAGGGGTCCTGAGGGATAGTGGAGGAGCTCCAATTCCCAGGCACAGCTGGGGGTGAAGCTCCATGTCTCCCATCTAGGTGAAACCCCCCTTGGCCCCCTGATTTTTGGGATCAGGAGCAGACCCTGCACCCAGCACAGGTCAGGTCCCATGGTAGCACAGGGTTCTGCCTGCCCTCTGTGGGGGAAAACAGCTCCTCTGGGGCTGGAACAATCCCAGAGGGATGAGTCCTGGAGGAAAGGTGGGCCTGACACCCTGGCATGGATGGGCAGGGGCAGGGAGCAGCCCCAGAGGGGCCCCCCTTCTCCCTCTCCAGGCTGGGGCCACGGACCATTGATACAAGAGA